TATATATATATATATATATATATATATATATATATATATATATATATATATAGTCACGTATAAAAGAATGTTCAGGTGAACCCAAGTGCGAGTTAACAAAAACAATATTTATTGACACAGTCAAACAAAAAGCAAGGAATGAATGTAGTGCTAGTGCTAGGAGAGATCGGGCAGGAATCAGGCAGGAAACAGGGTCCAGAAAACAGTCCTTAGATCCTAAGCACAGACAGAATAGCACACAATAAGCACACGTAACGAACTGACAAAGACACACAAAAAACGTGGCCCATATATAGGCCCGAATATGAGCCTCAGCTGGCGGGCTCATCAAGCCAGCTGAGTGCCGTCATCACACGTGATCAAAACAGATACACGTGGAGAACAAAAACAAACCAACATGATCAAACAGACACTCCGGAAGAGCGCACAAACCTGCAACCGTGACAATATATATATATATATATATATATATATATATATATATATATATATATATATATATATGTAATTAAATTAAAAGGTGCTTTTAAAGAAGGCTATATTATTTTAATTCATAAAGTAAAATATTCAATGGTTTTGCAGTTAGAAATACTAGCTTCCACACAATTATTTTATGTTGTCACAACACAAAGGTTAACTTAACTATTTTTACACATATAACAGGATTGAACATAAAACAATTGACCCTTTGCTAAGCCATCCCTCCTTAGTTACTGTTGCCACGCCTGTGAAGCTTTCGTGCCTGGCACGGCTTTTTCAATGTGTGTGCGCCGGTGTCAGACATTGCCAGGGATATAATGTCATTTTTTGGCGAACAGGTGAGATAATGGAGAAAGCCAGACAAAAAAGGACTGCAGTATACATTATAGGGGTATATTCATGACATAATAGGCAACCGATTAGAAAATAAATAATCAAAATTGAAGCTAGCTTAGCCTAGCCGCCTCATACGCTGAGCATTCAACAGCTTAGCTCATGCACAGCAGGAGAGAATGAAAGCAGCCAGAAAGGGGAAACTGATGGATTTATGCCGAATATTAGCATCATTGACCATAACAATGTACAGTAAGTTACCTATTACTGTTAGCATGTTTGTGTGCTCTTTATAAATTACTGAAAAACAGCTGTGGTAAAGTATATTGATCGCAGCTGCTCAGTTTGTGATCATATCTCTGTTTTGTTCTGTTGATTTGTAATTTCAAATATTCATAGCTTGAAACAAATGGAAATATGAAGTTCAGTAAAGTTAGCAACAGATTCGCAGATTCGTATTTTCTGGATCAATAACTCATGTCATTATGACCTATTCGCTATTAGGTGAAAACTTAAACAGAGTGCTTATAATATCGAGCGGAAGAAAAAAGAAAAAGCTGTGAAACCTGCTTTGTGTTTTTGTAGGAAACACAGTTTAAATCAGTTTAGAGTACGAGGTGTGAGTTATTGCAGTCTGTCTATCACTGAATGTGCCAGGAATATCAAAACAAAACCAATTTAGCTCCGCTCCTTTAGCGCCCCTCACAGAGCATGATCCACG